TGATCTCAGATACTTAAAAATGTTATAAAATCAGCTGATTTAACTATAAGTTCAGGGTAAGAATTTAATTCCTTAGAAAAAAATATAAATTACCTTCTACGTATTATACATGGCTGTAAGTATTTCTTACAGATACAAAAAAAAAAAAAAAAACTAAAGTTTACGCGAGAATGAGTATGTGAGACAATGAATACAACCTGAAGCGCTTTTTTTTCTTCTGCCTTTGAAACGTACCACGTACTTGTGAGTGTATTTTACTATTTTTATCAACTGTTCAAAAAAAAAAAAAAAAAAATTAAAAAATGTTAATTTAACGTGCATATTTCGAAAGAATAGGTAAAAATTCCTTGTAGGCCATATATCCATGCAAAAACTTTATTATGCCTAACTTTATTACAGAAGTATTTGATTAGGTATAAAACGTAGGGTTTAGCCTTGTGCGCAACAAAAGTGAACTTCGCGTCTGCTTTGCATGAGCTATTACGTTTACATTAACAGTTTGTTATACAATTATATAACCTGGATTAAAATTTATTTTCTTTATGAGCCGGAAAATAAAAACAACAGTAGGACAATGGATGATTTCAATATTGACGCAGAGATGACTCACTTTTTAGATAATTTAAATTAAGGAACGTCAATATTTAAAATGACCCAGAAAAGGGCCAGAGGCGATCCTTTCAGCCATTCCTTATTATTATTCTTGATGATGAGGAGCTGGCTGTGGATAGCTTGACTCTTACCCTCGGAGTCTCTGCGTACCGTGGAGGCCGTTTAATTCGTTGAGCGGGAAATTCAAACTTTAATTCCCATTGGCTGATTCGGTCATTTAACGTCTTTCATCGCTAAATTTTATACTTTCCGCTGAACGAATTGAACGGCTTCCATGTATTCGCCATTCGCCTTGTTAGGTGAACCTAGCGACACATAGTGGTCAAGTATGGAACTAAGATAACCAGGTGATTGGAATGAAATCATCATTACAAACCACTTTAAAATCATAAAAAGACAAAAGAAAAGACAGGAAAAAAGTGTTTTTAAGTGCTTGAATCTACAACAACTATGTAGAGTTAGTTTTTTCGGTTGTCTCATGATCATATTAAAAGAAAACAACGAATAAACCTGCACTCGTTAAGTTATGTTTTCGTAAACAGTAGCGTCAGAAACGATTACTGACAGCAATGACGATCCTGGCTCCTGGGGACTTGAGTCATATATGTATATCTAAACATATATATATGGTAAATGCTGCGTTTTAAAGCTCACGCTTTTCCCCGTGAGCCTCAAATGGCGGACATTGTCTTCTCACTTTTCACCCCTCGAAGCTCACTCAGCCGAATCGTAGATAAGCAGTTGAAGCAGTAGGCAAACACAACTCAGTATACGTATATGTATATACATATTTTATATTTTTTATGTTATAGTGCTCTACGTCCGGCTCCTTTATCAAGGGCACTATACTATGGGCAGTTAGCACTTGGAAGAAGGGACAAGGAAAGGGATGGGAGGCCTCCCGTTACAGGAGGGGGTAGGGGTAAATTAGGCAATTATGCTGCGAGGAAGTCGCGTAAACCCTCCTTAAGGAGTATTGCGTGGTAAAGAAGCACATGTGAAATATTATTGCAATAACAATAGAAAATTTGACAAATTATAGAAATTTAAGATAAGCAACCGATAAAATATGAAATCAAAAAAATATGAATCTTAGTGAAGTTGAGCCGTGGTACAGGAAGTACGTGAATAAACTTGAAGCGATGAGATAGTAATAGCACTAATGAATGCAGCCAATCGTAGTAACAGCGCGTCCAAGACCTCACAGGAGGCACCAAATGTGATTATCGAGTCACAACTTCTCGTCTTCTGAGAGAATCTGGATAATTCCTAGTATTAATTTTAAAAAATAAATTTTTATTTAATTCTAAAGCATTAAAATAGTATCCAAGTCTTTTTTTTTTGTAAATTAATGTATTCAGTTAAATGACAAAATAGAAAATTTAGCTCTATTCGCTCTGAGCATGACATGCAGCGCTGCCCTCGGCGTCAGAGTCGCACAATACCGTACCCCCGTATGATTGAATCGTAACACTGTCGCGTTATACAATTAT